GCCAGAGACAGGGCGACAAGAGGCGCGACGAGAAAGGCGACGCCGCTGCCGCGCGCGTCCGGTCAGTTTGGCCGCGACTCGCTGACCGGCCTGGAAGTGTGCGCTTGCGCGAGTTGCGCCCGCCTCAGCCTCGACTGGCCGCCGGCCGCTGAGAGGCGCTTGTCTTGCCGGCGCCGTTCGAGTTGGCGCGCGTGCTCGTGTCATCGCTGGCGGCCGTTCTTCCGCCTGTCCACGCCGCCCGTCCAGCCGCGGCCGCCCTGGAACGCGTCCACGCGAGTCGTGCCCAGGCTGGCCTGGCCCGAGCTGGCGTCGACGGGGCGGTCACGCCGAGGCGGGTCGATGTGGGCCCGAGTTCGCAGGCGAAGTCGACGCGGCAGGACGGGCAGGCGGCTGCAGAGGCGATGGCCGAAAAGAAGGCAAAAGACGAGGCTGAAAAGGCGCCAGAAGAAGACGAGGCTTTCCACCCGAAGGCGGCACGATTCTGGCTGCGTCGCCGTCCGACAAGCCGCAAGTAAGCCAAGCCAAGACGATCTGACGACGACAGTCGTTTCGTGCCGGTCGCAATGGCAAGCAATTACATTTGCCGAATTATTCGCAGATCTATCCATTTGACAACTTGTTTGTCATCCTATCTATCTATTAATCTATCCATCCATCCGTCCATTTATACATCTTTTTACATATATGCCATCCTGTCTCTCTATTAACCCACTCATCCATTCATCCATCCTTCTTCTCACCTATATATCATCCTGTCTATCTACTAAACCACCCATCCATTCATCCATCTTCTCACCTTTATGTTATCCTGTCTATCTATTAACCAATCAATTTATCCATCTTCCTACTTATTCCTCCATCCATCTTCTCATCGATATGTCAGCCTGCCTTTCTACTAAGCCACTCATCCACTCATCTATTCATGCATCCATCTATCCATTTATCCATTTTCTCACCCATATGTCATTCTATCTATCTATTAACCAATCTATTTATCCCTGGGCCTACTTATTCGTCCATCTGACTGTCTGCCTAGCATATAAGATTGGTAAATTTTCTTTTTCTCTAAATTTGATAAACGTGCAACTTAGAAATAGGAAGACTGATTTTAAATAAGGCCTCTAAGATGAAATTGTTTTGCAGACTTTTACTTTGTTCAAAAGTACATGATCCAGACATTCGTAAGTTGATCAGCCGTCAATTTCTGGTGAGATCGAGCTTGCAATTGCTTCCCCAGACCTTTCGTACGAAGTGGAATTTCTCCACAGCCTAAACATGAGAGTTGACTTTTGCCAAAAGGATTCCCATTTCAATTGAATTTCGCATAGCCTTGCCTCAAAAAGGATATTCCCCGCTAGTCTGTGGCGGAGAGCAGCTCTGACCTCGCCTCAACCCGTTTCATCAACACCCCCACCAGGACTCGAACCCGACTTCTGCTATTACCGAATATGGCCTCCACTCGTCGACATCCACGCCACACGCCGCCACGATTGCCTTTTGGTGACAGGCCAGAGGTGAATTTCGAGAAAGGCCAGACCCTTTGCAATATCACATTCTTTGGCAGGATTGCCGATGAAGAAAAGTTATATTTGCCATGACAATTGGCTATATTACTTATTTTTTGTTGTCAAGTAGCGTTTCGAGGCTGCCAGTAAATCAGTTATATGAAATATATTCAATCTATATTGTGTAAAGTGATGAAGGACTGGTAGTTTAATTAACTTGACTCGTTAGCTTGAATTTTGTTATGACGATGTTTTCTCGCTCTGATCATGTCCGTCATATGACACCAGACACGAAAGCTCAGCACGTTTTCACCGGAATCGAAGGAGATTGCCTCGGCAACAGCGTCAGCATGAATGCTCCAGTAAAGTCAATTGACAGCTGTTCAAAAGGAATTCGCCGTCGTCTTCTGGTCGAACCGACCTTCCAATCTCTTCACACAACACTTTCACTCAAAATGGAAGTAAGCTAAACAATTATGAAACAAGAGATTCCTCAAAACCCAACTTTTCTTCGCATAATTAACCTACTTTTAAACGAAAAATAACAAACGTTTTCGATAGTCATAACACCTATAACTTTGCTTCATCAAAAATCCCATCTAACAATGTGATATGTGAAAATGTCCGGCCTTTCTTGAACTTCACATCTGCATTGTGACCCAAACACACACGCAGCAATGTGGCATAATGTTTAACGTGTCCAGATTACACGCTGTACTATATTGGTTCGAGTCCCGTTGAGGGTGTTGCAAAGACCAGTGCAGACGAGCTCGAAACTAAAGGCCACTTTAGCCTGGATGAGAACAACTTTTGGAGAAGCAAGACCATCTGAAATTCGATAAAAGTATCAGCTCCA